TCTATGGATCTACGGACACCATGAAGACAGGTGGGAACAGCATGCTACAGTGTGAACATTGGAGGATTGAATTGAAAAAAAGGTTTCCTCCTTCTCAAATGACTCATTTTCACACATCCAGCCAACATGTTGTGTATGCAAATATAACCAGGAAATGTAAGAGAAACTCTAAAAATTCACTGTGGCGTAGGTCGTGCTTATGGAATATTTTCTAAAAGTGACTGAGGCCTTGTTTGGTGGTTGGACTGAATGGGGGGAAAACAACATTTTATGCAGGAAGAGCAGCTAAATATGTCGATTACCACTGCACTTTGCACCATCATATCCTGAGGTGACCGGCCTTCCTTTAGCAGGAGCCCATTTGCTCATTTATTGCGGCCCACTGAAGAAGTGGACCTTTAAATAGCATCCATAACTGCAGGCTTGTTCTGTCAAACCCAACACATAATTGTTTGCTGGGTGAAAAATACTCTCCACTCTCTCCAAACAGGCTGAAATAATCACAGGAAATGTAGGTTAAGCTTGTCTGGCTGGACTACAAACCTGAATTTTGGAGAGCTGGTGTAATAATCCGCAATTAGATACAGGACGCTGTAATACGCCACTCGCAAAGAAAAAGACCAGCCACTTAAAGACGTCTCACAGGAAGTCAGAGTCGCTTTACGAGTGAGAGACATAACTAGGGCTAGAGAACTCGGAATTAGAAAAGTGAGAGTCCCCACTCTCGACCAAAACCATCACAAGTTCTTTTAGAAAAGAGTCGAAATGTTAAAATTAGAGCTCGACCCATATCAGCTGATATTTGCTTGTTGTAGAAATACTGATATACATAAGCAGATAAGTAACAAGAAATGTCAGTACAGAAATACCAAACTAGTCTGATTTGGTCTTTAATTTACAAACCGTGTCACCATTACATGCTTTGTCCCAGCACAGTTTTACACTGTACCAAGGTGGTGTGCTTATGTTACGTCTTTATGTCGAAGTTAAATTAAATTATATCGGGGAGCCCTGATAGCTCACCTGGTAGAGCTGGTTGCCCCATGTACCAAGGCTGAGTCCGTGCTGCAGCAACCGTGGGTTTGAGTCCGACCTGTGGCCCTCTGCTGTGTGTCGTCCCTATCGGCTTAAAATGTCCAGTATCGGTAGGGGTATATAATTAATATCATCAGAGAAGCATGTAAATGTTTGAGTAATGCACATATGCACCAACACGTTATATCTGTACCGTTATAAATGGGTACAAATGAACATGAGCTACAGCATGCTCTGTCAAACCCACTGGTGGATTAGTGTTCTGATACATGATACATGTATTAATGGAATAACCGCTTACCACCTCGTTTTCAAGGGAGTCCTCAATGACAAAAAGTACCGTTACGCAAAAGTATTCGACAGACATATTAGCGTAAAGTTAAACCAAATGTGACAAACACAGACAGAAGACTGTATGATTGTTATTACTGTTGGCTGGCTCAGGTTAAACCCTTTGTGAGAGTCAGAGTAGGGTGGGTCATGAATTTGCTATCCTGGGGGAAAAATGGCTGATGAGACACTACTGGGAAGTAGCAGGGTCCTGTTTCAAGGCTAATAAATTACATTGTATCGGCTTGGTGCACAGTCACGCATACGTGATACTGGAATTTAGGCAGTATCGGACGAATTACCAATGCTGGTATTGGTATCGGGACAACTGTACTTGCGGACGGAGCTTGGCTCAAAAAACAAGCCACAGAGAGCCTACCATTCCACACACATACATACAAATAGCAGGTACGACACATGTAAGATCAGCTTGTGGAAAAGCAGGATGCACTGAATCCAAACAAATTCCTGACGGGCACAATTTGCATTATTCAAAAAGACACCACATGTGTGCCTTCCGTGTGTGTTTTGCAAAATGAGAAGATGGACCAAATCGCCTCCAGCTAAGCATATGTCTACATCTGAGGCAAGGGTTTGTGTCTATATACTACAGCTGTACACGCAGTACTTCTCAGCACTCTCGGGTTTCACTCAACGCCTTATGACACCCCCTGCCTTTGTTCACATCCAGTGTAGTTTCCCAGACAGCTCCACCTTGAGCTCAGGCATGTCTTTACTTGGCTTATAATCTCTTCATCGCTCCCATAATCTCATGACTAACTTAGGTCAACAACTGCAGTGTCATTGCAGTAAACAAGTCCCTCCCTCTCTGTAACCTACCGGGAAAGCAAAACGAAGCCATGGAGATGATCAGGGTGTGGATCAAAACCAGAACTGAAAACACAAAAGGCTGGCTCACAGCACAGCGTTCATCCTGATGGCTGATAATACCGCGCGGTATGCTTCTTGTTTTTGCACTTGAGCTGATATATGGAAGCTTCCCGTGTCTGAGAAGAGGGGCTTTCATCACATTTTAGGTGGCCAGTCCGCACTCATTCGCAAATAACGAGCTTAAATTAGACTGCCAGGGTGAAAGCCACAGCGCCATGACGACAGACGGGGAAAAATTCCTGCGTTCTGAAAATGTGTGTTTAATGTTTGTAATTACTGATTAGGTGTATGGCGGAAAGGGAGGAAGAAAGAGTTTGCACTTCACAGTAAAAAAAAGAAATAAAAAACCATACAGAACAGTGGGAAAAACACCAGGGATCTGGTGGGGATTCAGCAGCAGGACAGATTAAAGCCCACACTGGAGAGGACTATTTTGGAGGGAGCAGCATAATCCTGTATTTAAAATAAATCTGTCAGTTTCTGTTTGCACTCCCTCTTGATATGGCAAATTTCAGGTCTGCGGTAAAGCCTTTCTAGGGACTTTGGCTTTTAATCGCTCCGTGTATGGAAAAATTGAGGCTTATCAGCTGCTTATCATGACAAGAGCAGTAGACTTCTAATAGAGTGCAAAACAGGAACACATTCAATGGAAATTGCTGAGTCCTTGTGCTACTGAAGCAAGGCCACGGAGTCCCGGCATCAGGTACTGGCCTGTATGGAGAGAGCAACTGTCAAAGTGTCAATTGGTGTTACTTCACCAACTGCCTCACATACCAGCTCCATGTTGTTTTGGACCAGTTCTGAATGTATAAGGCACGCTGGTGAATTCAGCGTACAGCTTTATTCAACAATACACAAACTGATGCGAATAACGTCTCTGTTGTTATAATGTTATAAGTATTAGTTAGAATTGTGACTGTACACTGGGCTGGTTAGTAATTTATATTTTAGATAAGGAGTGTTAAGTACTGTTTTCCTCGGTGTCGGTCTGTGCCAATAGTCATAAATTGGCACATTTTTGAGTGGAGTTTGGCACGTCGACCTGTCCGAAGAGTGTCGAAGCTAGGCCATTGCTTACATTTCTGTGTGACTCAGCATTAGACTGGATATTAAAATGTTTTCTTGTTCCTACTTATTGCTGGATACAGAGCTTCTGTTGTCTGGGGAAGTACAGTTTTTTTGGAGCAACAATGTCGCAAACTGGGAACCCTCGTGTGTTAAAACTTGAGACAATGCTTGCCCCTGCTCCGTCCCAAGGTTACCGATATGTATGTGTAGTTCAGGTTTCGGAACATTGAAGTTCGGTTGACAGCACTTATATACAGTCAAATCCTGAACGTGATTCGAGGCAACCATTTCCGTGACTGTACCGAGCATATGTTGGGAAAGCACAACAAAGGGTTGAGGAGAAAAAAAGACAGTGACCGAGAAAAAGGAGTCAGTGGCTAACGTTGAACTACAAAAGCGAATAGCTTAACATACCTCGTCCATCTCCTGCACCATTTTTGTGAGTTTTTCGTCGTCCTCCAGAATTTCGTTGAGTTGAGTCATCGTGTAGGCGCTAAACTTGTTGGAAAAACTAGACATTTTAGCTCCTGTTGTGTGTCTCTCCTCGCCTGTGATCCCTCTTCTCGCCTTTCAGATTGTGACAGCTGACTGAGCTTCCCTTACAGGAAGTAGTCAGAGCAGACACAGGCCCGCTGCTGCCTTCACGGCCTGTCGGAAATATTGCGATTACCGGTAAACTCCACAATGGGCGTCAAGTGAGCAACAATCAAGGTGTTGAACCGGCTGAATTCAACTCTGTCAGCTAATTCTTAACATTATAATAACATATATAGTTTTACTCTGGGCTACACATCAGGGCTATATATTATAATAAAATATATTATTTTATAGGTAAAATCAGAATTATTTATTTTATTTAATTATTAGTAGAGGCCCTATGCCTATTATTTATCAATATAACTAATGCATCACATTGTACTGCATTGAATCTCATTGTGTTAAACACATCTTGTCGAATCACACAGCATCACATTGAGGGTGAATCATATCGTTTGCCGTTAGTAGTTTCTTCATATGTATCTTTAATGTGCGGCATCGTTGGTGCACTGCATCGGCCTCAGTGATGGAGACCTAATATAATATATATCCCTAATATATAAATACATATGCGTGTATATTTTGCATACCGTGTTTGTGGTGTTCCATCTTTTCTTTAAAGTAATGCTTAGCCTAATAGTAACCAGAACATCTCCTCACCTCACCTCACACCTAGCTTCTGGTTTTAAAGAATGTAGACATTATCTGCATTATGCAATGACAAAATGACAAATGGCAAAGATATGCTGCTAGAGAAAACACCCTTCAAAATACTACCAGTTTCACAATCTGGGTTTACGAGGAGACATTAAATGCAGCATTTGGTGTTAATCCAACATGTTTGTTTCCATAAAGGCCAACATGCAGTATATTTGTTACACTGTTCAGTGCATGTGTTTATTGCTTACAGTGATTTACACAATTACATCATGTATCTGTAGTGTCATTCATTGGTTTGTCCTCTTTACAGACCGCAGCAGATCTCTATAGTTCATTCCGTTCTTTTCTTTGTAGTCATTGCAGTGCTTACTTGAGGAATTACAAATAACATATGTGCACAGCCTTGAAATGAAACACAAAGAAGTTCCACATCTTCTACTGTAAAATCAGTATAAAAGCACAAACCAATCCTGAGGAAGACATTAACCGAGTCATTTATTTGTCTAGACTGCAATGATGAGGTATAGAATAAACAAACAAGCTCATCAACAGCAACATATTGCTGCCTATTCTTAAATCCTGGTAGTAAACATAATGGCCCCTCAAGTTATAATTCTAGTGACCGTCTTTTGATACATTCAACTCTTTTTTTCACTTAATAATGGATAAAAGTGTTTTGTTCTAAGGTCAATTCTGAGGATTTTGTCTCCTCTTTGCATGATAACGGTTACACTTTATACTACTGAAGATGTGATCTCCACAAAATAACTTATACAGTACATATGGTTTCAATTTCAAAAAATCCTAAAATGCCATAAACCCACAAAAACATCTAGCAGTCCAATCCCATTTCTACTGCAGTTCATTCTCAGTAGCGCATGTTGCACTCAGTGTCACTGCCACCGCTGCTGCTGCTTGGACGTCTCCGCTGCCTTCCACTGTCAGACTTCCAGCTGAGTTTTTCGGACGGGTTGAGGACCTCCGCCCTCGTCTCGATGCCTAGGACCTGCCTCTGCACCAGTTTACTGTAAATCCCCCCGCTGGCCATCAACTGACTGTGAGAACCCTGCTCGGCTAAGTGGCCCCTGTCGATCACGATGATGTTGTTGGCCTTCTCCACCGTGCTGAGCCGATGGGCGATCACCAACACCGTGTGCTCCTGCATAATGTTGTTCAGAGCCTGCTGAACCTGCAGTAGATATAGCAGAGATTAACAAAACTATCAGAGGGATGAGTCATAGTAAAAAGTTCAATCATGTAGTATTTATCGCAGGGCTATGTTATTGGATAACCGCCTCCTGTATATGAGATTTCATTTGGCTTTAGTAAATGTAGCTTTTCACTTACGACGTGTTCACTTTCTGCATCCAGGGCACTGGTGGCTTCGTCCAAAATAAGGACACGAGGGTTACGGATAAGAGCTCTGGCAATAGCCACCCTCTGTTTCTGCCCCCCTGACAACTGGGTGCCTTTTTCTCCAACACCTAGGAAAGATAAGGAGGAGTTATTAAGTATGGCGTGAAAAAACTTTACTGTGGTGGATTTTCAGTATCAGGATAATCATGAACATCCTCACGAGTGACGTGAAAAAGCTGTCAAGCTCACTAATGGACAGTCCTATATTGATTTCCTATTTTATCTTTAACAAGGGGACAATGGGAAGCCTGCATCTTCCAGTCACTCCAAAATCCTGAGCCTGTTACCAATAAACTAAATATTTCAAACTAAGGCACGACAGGGAGATGAGGTGAGAGATGAGAACAATGTTTAATTTCAAGGATAATTGGGTGCTGGTATGGGGTCAACACATTACAATCTAACGCTAACAGTAAACAGACTTAAGTCATGGTTGCTCTTGCATTAATACTGACAATTGTCTCCTAGTGTTTATTTCCATTATGATGATCACTGGCTGGGCAGCTTATTTCCCTTTTTCATTACTAATACATCAATGCTGACATAGAAATGAACACATAATTACTCGTCTCATAGCCTTTAGGGAGGGAGATGATAAAATCGTGAGCATTAGCCTTGGTGGCTGCCTGCGTCACGGCCTCCATTGGGGTGTCAGTCAGGCCATAGGTGATGTTCTCCTCAACCGTCCGGGCAAACAGCACAGGCTCCTGGCCCACCAGAGCGACCTGCAGAAACAAAATAACAAACAGATGGCTTTGTGTTTGAAAGACCTTAACCAACAATGATCTGATCACAGTAACAAGTATAGTGTGCAAAATACCTTCATCTTCTGTAAAAACTATTAAAAACCACACCGTGGCACTGGCTGACATGTTCCTTCATTACAAGTAACATGAAGATTGGAGCACTCAACGTGTATTAATCCATGGCTGAAAAACTTTTCCAGTTGTTTTAAGAGAACTAGCCCCTTTTTAAAAAAGGGAAATAACATATTTATGACCTATTGTTAGAAATCAACATCTTCAGTAAGAAAAGTACTGAGTGACATATCCTTTTAAAGGACATGTTCTGACCTTTTCTAAATGTTGAACTGTTATCACTGACATTGTAGACTGACCTTGGAGTGGAGGTAGTCATGCTGGAAGGTGTGCACTGGCTTTCCATCCAGCAGCACTTGGCCTTGCTGAGGAAGATAGAAGTTTTCCAACAGGCTCACACAGGAGCTCTTTCCACTGCCTGAAGTTCCCACGAGGGCGGTCACCTCACCGGGCCGCAGAGTAAATGACACTCCCTGCAAAACACACCAATTCAGGAAGGGACTTCTTTAGCAAACACATACAATATACCAGTCTAACCTAATCTAATCAATGTTATCTGAGTGAGTAAAACCTGGCCTGACCCGCGACTCTGCTACCTGGAGCCAAACGGATCAGTTTTGGTGTTTAAAAAGTGGTGCACACAGTTTATGATCCCTCAGAACAAACCTTGAGAATATCAACCTCAGGGCGTGTAGGGTAGGCAAACGTGATATCTTTAAACTCAACCAGGCCAGTGCATGTGTCTGGAGCTTCTGTACCATCAGCAGGGTGTTTGGGTTCCCTGTCCAGGTACTCGAAAACCTTCTCAGCAGCTCCAACTCCCTGCATGAGGCCCGTGTACACCGATGCTATACTCTGTAAGACAAACCACACGTGACTGAGGGGATGAGTGTTTTCATATACAAACAATGAAATAACTTACAAATGAAATAAAGTACCTCAAGACACTCTCCCAATTCCAGCATGTAAATGAAAAAAGAGATCAAGGCACCACTGCTCATCTGATTGGTTACTACGAGGTGGCCGCCATAGTAGAGGATAGCAACCTCTAAAGAGAGCTCCGAGATCTGAAAACACACACAAACCCGACTGATGCTCACGCCCTTACAGATTTAGAGCTTTACATCCATACATACCCCTTGATGGGGTGACTGCTGATACTCACACAACTGGACCACATGTAGCAAGCATAAGCCAGGGCTTGTTTTTTGTTGAGCTGGAACATGACCAAAAGCTTGCCGTAGTAGGAGTCGGCCTCCCTGTGCTCGTTGGCAAAGCTCCGTACCGTCCTCATGGCTGAAATGGTTTCTTCTGCTACTTTATTGGCCTCCGCAAGGGTTGTTTGCACCTCTTTGGTTAATTTCTGGGGAAAGATACAAAACAAAGAAATGAATTAATTTTTATCTGCAAATTAAAAGGTTTTCTAAGAAATGTACTGCCACTAGATGTCGCACTAGAGCAGCAGCATCTCATAGGGTTCCCACTCTTTTTAAGAAATTAATTTTCCAGGACCTTAACCAGGAGTTTGCTCACAAACAGTCATAAAACTTACCAATAGGCCTAGTTTGTTGAATTGACACAGGTTCATTACAGGTAGGTGGTCAGCATTTATGGGACATATGCGTTCCATCGCTGTGTATTTGACTACAGTTTACTACAGTTTTCCTCAAACCTAGGTTTACATAGGCGATCTGCCTGTAATTACAATTACGATTTTCCAGAACAACATAGATTACCTTCACGATATTTGGTCATTTTAATCCATTGCTAGGCCTTTCCATGACTGGAAAACAGATCTGTAAATTTCCAGGTTTTTCCAGGTTTTTCAGGAGGTGTGGAAACTCTGTCTCAGACCAAATCAAATAGGGGGGATACAACCAACCAGGCTCCATTGACAAAACCAGTATTTTCACCTTGCAAATAGTCGTAAAATACACTTCAAACTGGACAGAAACAAAGTAAAACTCACCAAAACCATTACTGTTAGTCTTTCCAATAATAACCAACTATGTTTTGGTCGAAACAGTTAGTTGTGAAAATATTTGGCACAACGGGTGCCACTGGCAGAAACGTAATCCGTGGGGACAAATGCGACCATTGTTTGCCGCTTTATCAACGTTCTAAATCTTGTATACAGAACTCTTGATCAGCACAGACACTAAACTATTGTACCTTGTAGTATTCACCATAAAGGTTAGAGACGAGGGCGATGAAAGGGAATCCCATGACGGTCACCAGGGTGAGCTTCCAGGACATCCCAAACATGAAGATGAAGAAGCCGGCGCCCTTGATGGTGCTCCGCAGGAAGATGTTGACATTCTGGGAGATGAGGTCACTCACCTGGGTGGTGTCAGCCGACAGACGCGAAATGATGTCACCTACAGGGTGATATAGGCATGTCATAACATCAGGACTGCTCGTCTGTTGAAGACCCACACACAGGGGGAGACATCAATAATACAGATGGAGGGGAGGATGTACAGTGTTCCTCTATGACCTGTATGGTTTTCATCAAAAAAGGCAATTTCCTGCCTCATCAGAGTTCTGAAGAGATGGTTCCTGAGCCGGAGGTTTAATCTTGCAAACGTCAGGGTGAAGACTCCCCCGCGTACTCCCATCGCGAGTGAGCTGAGGAGTGAGGGGATAAAGGTAAAGCATTTAAAGCATTTTTTGGTTTTGCACATGTGACGTACTCGCTTTGCCATATCTCATTATGGCATCACTCTTTCTTTCCTGATTGCATCCATCTCTGTGTACTGTCCAACAATGAAAATATGTCCAAGCATTATAATAAATAAAACAACAACAACAACAACAAAACATTACAATCTTAGTTAGCAACACTCCATATAAACAAATGCTCATGTTATACGCCCAACCCATACACCCACCCTCAGCACTGGTTTCACCACCAGAAGACCACCTGGAGGTACTCACCTGGCTAAGGCCAGTGCTGACACCATGATCACAGGCTTAGCAAAGTACTCCATGCTCTGGTGAACCACAATACTGTCTATGGCTTTCCCATAGTAGTAAGGAATGAAGGCCTCACCTGCGGGTAAAAGAGAGAGAGCGAAGCAGAACATAAGTTTTCATATGTGTAATGAATGTCATCAATGATTAAGATCCTTAGTAAAAGTGTGGAAAATAGTTTACAAAATAACTTTCGAAATGGAGTAAAATTACGTGAAGAGCAGAGCTGAAATAATAAAACAATTTATCAGTTCGTTGATCAATAAAAAATGAATTGTCAACTGTTTTGATAATCAATTGTTTTGGTAATTTTAAGATTCTCTGATTCTAGCTTCTCAGTTCTGAGGGTGCTGCTTGTCTTTGTCTTGTTTATTGTGACAATAAACTAAATACCTTTGAGTTTAGGACTGTAAGTCAAAGAAAACAATAAAATTCTGGAAAGGTCCCCTCAGGCTCTGGGATATTTTGATGGACGTTGTTCTTCATTTTCTGATATTTTATTGACCAAATAATTAATTGAGAAAGTAATTGGCAGAAAAGTCCCTGTTAAGAGGGTCTTTACTACGACCTGAAAAACTTACATAAATGTACTGCATCTTCAAGGTGCTATAGGAGGGATTGCGCAGGCTTCAACTGGTTAAATTTAAAACTTTTAAGGTATCTTCAGACCACTATGAATGCAATTTAAGAGCTATTTTACATCTATACTGGCAAGTATAACTGTAAAAAAAAAGTACAAAGGATATGAAGGAAAATATGTGTTGGTTTCCTGTAGGTTTTGTTTTGTAGTTGTTACAGCAAACACAGACAGCATAGACACCCTGTATATATATGGTCCTTCTAATTCTGCTCCTATCTCTAATTCTTTATTTTGTTGGTGTCCATGGTATAAAATAAGGAAAATAAGACCCATGTATTTCTTAAAAATGAAACTAACACTGTTGCACTTAGTTGCTTTTCACGAGATCAAAGCTAAAAGTGTTGTGAAATCTGGTGTCATAACCTACACACTGTAAAGACAATAGCCATAAAAAGACCCTTTCACATTAGTGTTGCAATCCTTTGTAACAGGAAGGATTAAACAGTGTCAGACTGGTTTATTACTATGTCAAGGACACTCACACACAGCAGAGATGAGGAGGAAGAGGATGGCTACAGACAGCACTCCACCATCCTTTTTGCAGTAGGTCAGGAGACGCCCCAGTGTTGCCCCAGAGCCGGTCTCCTTCTCCTGGCTTCCCTCTTCCTTCCTCTTCTTTCTCTCACACCCAACCTCCTGCTCCTCCTCCTCCTCACCAGCTGCCTCCACCAGCTTTTCAGTGTCCTCAGAGCCCCTTCCACCTCCGCTGCTGCTGGTGTTATGACTGCTCGGAGAGTTGGACTCCTTCCCCAGCAGCCACCAGAGCAGCATGACACCCAGAGAGGAGGCACAAGTCCAACATATCAAGCTCAGGATCCAGGGCTGGTGGCTCAAAGGCCCCAGCTCAGACAGCATCAGCAGCTTGGTCAGGGTGAAGGTGATGATGATCAGACAGATGAAGACGATGAGGGTAGTGAGCTTCGCGACCCTTGGCGGGCCGTCTTCTCTATTCCACGACACCCCTATGGAGGCTCCCAGCAGGAGGGAGACTCTGAGCAGGACAGTCCCCCAGACGTCCAACGCTGACTGGAGGATGTTAAAGTTGAGGGCATCCTTTTTAAATATGCTCACCTGCGATCCATGTGTGTATAGGACGGTGGTGATAGCCACATCCAGTAGGATGTACAACACAGTGCAGCTGACAGCTACTTTGGTTCCCATGCTGATTATCAGGAGAGATACACAGAGTTATTCCAAATACCAGTGTTAAACTGTCCCAGGTCAAACTTAAATCATTATATTCAGATACAAGATTATACATATTAAGATAACTCAGAATTTAGCAGAAATGACCACCAAATATTTTAGTTATTTCTTTACACTTACTTTTATTTTGAAGGAAGTTACTTCCTGTCTTCTGCGGCTCGTAGCTACAAGGGGAAATATGAGGTGGTCCTACTAAACGAGTAACATATAAGCTGTATGATTGTCCAGCACGGTTGCAACCGGTTGCAACATTAGTCTAAGTACTTTCCACTACGTTGTAGATTGCTAACCTACCTAAGTTAGCTATTAGCAGGTGGTGAGCTGTGTTGTTGCGTCAGGTTTCAAAGTCTTCCATGTTATTAAATCCAGCCAGGTGTCCGCGGGAACACTCATTAAATTACTGTAGTCTCACTCCATTCATAATAAATAATACTGTAGTGCAAATATGGTACTTGGTAAAAACCCTCGCCCACGTCTCAAACTGAGGTTAAGTTAGGTTTGAGGGAATAAAGCAGCATTTGACTGAAGTGGACACCGGTATCGAAGATCGTCTATGTTAAAGAGGCTTCAGACTTTGCAGAAAACAGCGACAGGTATCATAATTTGATATGGCCACATCTTTCGTTGGACTTAAATGTATCTACTTGATATGTTAGTTTGTGCTAAGTGTAAATGAGTCTTATTAAAGTACCTGGTCGATAAGTGAATTAAAGTCAGCAAGCTCTCGGGTCTCTCTGAGGCACATTCAAACTGCCAAACATTATCTCCCACAATTCAAGAGCCGCACTCCGAAATTGTTTAAAGGCACGAAGAGGATCCAAAGTGATACCTCCCCCGTGTTTGTTTTTTTTTTTCTACCTCTCTGACCTCAGTTGTTGCGGAAGTGAACGTCACGTGGCTCCTCCCACCAGGTATTTTATTGAGTGTTCAAGAGCTGCGGGTTAAAAATGACACAAGTATGTTGAATTGGCCAGTGATCCAGTGTAATGAGAGGACTTTTAGTCAAAGTGACTCCTCAATAAAATAGAAAAGTTATATTATCAAGTCAAAGTTATAATTCTTATGATAGTTTCATTAAAGGATGCTAAAAATAATATTTTAAGTTCCTACAACAGCTTATTTATTAAAGGTGTCTAAAAGTACAAGTGATATTTACGATATTTCTGATTTATATCTGCAGTATGTATTTTATTTGACCTAAAGGGCATATCAAGACTTTCAATTTTTAAAGCTGCAAGTATTTTTATAGCTGCAAGTATTTTTATATTGAGGATGGATCAACTAAAATCTAACTAAAGAAGCTATTTTAACAAACATTTGGAAACTCCATTATTGCAAATGCTTCTTACTCATTTATTTAACAAATTCTTGGCATATTCTAAATGTATTAGCTTGTTCAGACTTTTGGTGTTTAGTTTCTACAATGTGCAAAGGTTTGTCCACAAATATAAATCACTACGCAATATATAGACTACAATTGTCTATACTGGTATGTATCCATTTTTAAAAGAGACTCCTCTTAATAACACTTACAAATACTCATGAGCAATACCTCACTTCCCATCATGTAATGAATATAAAAACGAAACAATATCTTTATTTAAAACTATAGCTTAAAAATCTATTGTACGACAAAGTGAAAAACAAATAAGTTAACATCATTTTCAAGGGAAACAATGTTTTTTTGTAGGGAAAAGGCTCAACAATTCATGTGGGTTTGATTTTTACTGCCATTTCTTTGGCCATTTGATGCTGTTTGGAAGTGTGACATCAACTAGCAGCACGTTCAACTCATCAGCTGATCACGGTCCTTTCACCAACGTCTGGATTTCCTATTTTTCTGTCCAAGTCTTCAGTTAGCTTAGCTCCACTGATGTGTCTCCTCTGCAGTCTTTTCACACGGTCCTCCTCAGTGGACGTCAGACTCGGCTAAGTGAAACGCTAACTCGGTCTTTATGTCCTCTGAGCTGCTCTGCTCGGTGGCCAGCACCGTCTCAACAGGAAAGGACAAATATAAACTCTCTTTCAGTTTTTTCGGGGAGGGCGAGTCTCCTTCACCAAACAGAGGATCTGCGTTTTTGAAGGTCATCGAGGGCATGTTATGTGACCTCCGTTTGGCGTTCTTCTTCTTCTCTTGTTTGTAGGCTGCGTTCATATTGGCTATCACCTGGAAGTGGAACACACACATTTAGACAAAACAGAAGGGATGTAACAGAGACCCTGCCCTGTGTGGCTCCGGGTGCATTCACACAAAATCTGGCAATGTGGCTCCTTCCCACAGGGTTGTGCGGAGGTGTGGCTGTGTTTGTTTGTGCTTTAGAACGTAACCACGGTGAAACAATCAGAAAATAACGTTTTATTTCTTTGATTCACTGCTTTGTTTTTGCTAACGGCGCTGCCTCTCTTCATACGCCTTCCAGCTCGATCAATCACTGCTGCTCTCGCTCTGCCTTTAAATAATTAATACAGAGTTTCTGTGACAAGAACCTGTGGTGTAAGAATCAAGTTTCATGTAACACAATGCGTTCACGGGAATGGTGCATAAAACATGACAACATCATGTCTGACAGGTTATGATACACATTATGTACTATGTCTGGAGGACATAAAAAACATACATAATGCAACATGAAACAGGCATGAGGCAGACACTGTTTGGGCCAATCAGGAGCAAGAATTCAGAGGCTTTGCAGAGACAATACTATTTCAGGCTAACTCATTCTTTTCAACGATTATAGCCCTTTATGGTTGATTCACAAATGACGCTGTCAGCTATGGTCAATCAGTAAATTAACAAAAACTTTTAAAGCTGCACTTAATATTTTATTTGTATCGACAAAGAATAAAATGACTATGTGTAATGTGAAAGGTGTCGTTCAGAGTGATGAACCCACAAAGTATTATTAGCAAACACTGCAGAACCCCCTCAGTTCTACAGGTTTTTTAGCTTCTTTTAGTTTGATGTTGTGGTTTTCTGGCCCACAAGCTATCAGCTGTTTTCAGTTTCGACAAAAAAACTTTACCTCCTCTCCAGCACGTAACAGACAGACAAAGTCAAGCGGTAAGTCAGAGAACATAGCGTAGCATTCACCAGCCAATGAGCCAGAGACCAAAACAGAGCTAAAATGGGTCTGAAAATTGGAAATTCAGTTGACCAGAAATATGACCCCAATTCTGCCTGATGTGTATATGGGCAACTGTTTGTTAACATATTTGACAAAACAACAACAACATGAATTTGAGCCTTTAAAGCTTGAGTGAGGGACTTTTACATATAACTGAACGTTACATTTAACAGTAGAGAATGTACAGTAGAGTTTTTAAAGGTTATAAACTTAAAAAAAAAAAAAAAAAAAACTTCTTCCAAGAGGTACCCCTATAATAACCCCCATTGTGACAGTGCAAGATAAAACAATGTGAATTACCAGCTGCTTCACAGAGTTCTGCTGCTCCTGCATTATGGTCATATATGTCGAGGCCTTCTCCTTTGTGGAATAGATATCCTGCTCTTGGTCGTCATAATTCAGCACGCTCAGTGTAGTCTAGAGGGAAGGGAAGAACATAAGTACGCAGAAACAAACTACACAGTTAGAATATTTTCTTGACAATGACAGAGTCCGGACCTCATTTGGTAAATTAGCTTTCCTGTTGAACATGAGGGAATAAGGGGTGAACTTGGTCGTAGGGCTCATGGACGTCCTGAACAGAAACAGCACAGGGTCCAGGAAGTCGTCCCATTCAGCCTGCTTCTCCGTTACCATCTGCACCACAGCTTCCTTCAGTAAAGGACTCGTGCAGTCGTGGAGCGGGTTGAGCTGAGGTTGGCCCAGAGCAGAAACCTTCTGCACGATGCTCCATCTGTTGCACAGCAGCTTCGTCACCTGTAAGACACCAGTACGGCACTGATAAAACTCACCCACAGCAGTGCTATCCCATCTCTCATACTTTATTTGAATACACTTTGCAACTCAAATCTCACCTCATCACAGAAGTCAGTATTCTGTGTACACACTACTGTTTTAGGAGCACCAAATCTGATCAAAGAGAGAGCAGAATTAGTTCAATTTCAGGTTAAAATGTTGTCATTTTGTGGGTATTAACATGGGTCAGAATGAAATTCCAGCATCCCAATAGTGGTCTTTCAATAACATTTGGAGGCAAATTGTGGCATGAATTAAATTCAATTATTTAGAGTCAAAAACACTAAATAATCTGTCAAATCAACAGATTATATTGATAAACCCCTTGTTTCAAACTCAGATTTAGTGAAATGTTTTTACCTGTATATGCATCTGGAAATACATCTCGCAACAGAGAGGGCATCTGTCTTCTGCACCGGAAAAGCTTCTGGCCATTTACTAAAGTAATCAATGAGGACTATAACGCTGGTATTGCCTTGCTGGGTCTCTGGGAAAGGTCCTGGAGGACACAAGAGAAAAACAGACAGCAGCTCTTAAAGTGAGGAAGGAAATTAAAAAGCAGAAAAATAAATTATTGATGACATTAACTGAGGCAAGAACCTATAATGTCAACCCCAACAATATCCCAAGGTGCATCCACTTTTATAGGCCGAACAATCCTTGCCAGGTTTTTATTCCTCTCCGTGAGCTGACAGGTCTCGCACACTTTTATCTGAAACAAACAGTTATGATGAAGGTTAGACAGTATTATCATTATGTCCCAGTGATGAGAACAGAAAACACACATTAAAATGCGTGTACCCAATCCACCACGTCCTTGATGATGCCCAGCCAGTAGTATTTGCTCTGGATCCTTTGGACGGTCTTCTTCTGGCCCAGGTGATGGCCGATGTCATTAAAGTGGCAGTCGAGAAAAATCTGCCTCTTCCTGTCAGCCTCGATGACCACCTCCCTCTTCTCCTCCTTCTTGGGTCCCACATAGTACAGCTTGCCCTCTTAAATGAAGATATAGATGAGGAAGGGGGCATGCTTTGACACAACTTTTGGTATTCTGAATAAGAAGTTGCTGAATACGTGTGGCGTACAGAGAGAACGGCACACCATACTTCATTCATAAAAATGGTATTTATTGTTGCTGTAAAGGGTTGATAACACATAAACGTTACGGGGCCCTGGTGGAAGCAGTTGAGGTCCACCCCTCAGTTAAGCCAACACTATCTACCTAACACCACCTACAGACAACGTCAGCTTTGATAAGAAGTACAAAGGAGTGTTATTCCTGTAACTCATCCAAAGCACACGGCATTTTATAACTTTATGAGCAAGCACCTGAAGCCAGTGTCAGAAGTTGAGATACACTTGAAAACACAGTGCTGGTTATAGTTAAACACTCAGTTAGTGAGCCGAATTTTCTGCAGACTTCTATTGATTCATATTATATCTTATGTTATGTCCCACAAGATGTACACTTTCGGTCATTTTAAATTGTATGTTTTTTTCGAATGGACGTTCGGATGCCAACACGTTTATTGGAGCTAGAGTGGTTGTCCCCTTTAAATGCACGTTTTTAAAAAGCCTTACCATCAATGATAAACTTCTGGGCGTATCTTTTGAGATTCTTCTTTCGTAAAGGATTCACCGTCTGAGGAAAGCAGCCTTTAGCCACGAAATTGTAAATGTCACCGAGTTTATTGGAGCTGGATTCAACCACCTCCTCCTCAGCCACTTGCAGCGACTCCACGCTTAACATTTCCCCTTACGAATGAGCACAACGGACAGCGGCTCAATAAACGCTAATGTGCTGCTCCTCAGTCGGCATATCAGCAGCTAGCAGCTAGCACGGAGACACATAATCCACAACAACATCACAACAGGACGAAGATACAAAGCGTGGGCTTGTCTCCTTTCTCTTCTTCCACTTTGGTATTTCATGCGGTTGGTATCCAGTTCTTTTGTATTAGCGCCCCCTTCTTGACAACGAGCGGTACTTCCTCTCAGTCCTGCTTTAAAAAATAAAAGGCCAATAGACCCTTTTCACAGCAGCCATTTGGACATTAAATAGTAGGGTAAATAGGTGATACTAAGTTAGTTAATCGTCCATTTCGTTCAGGTCAAACAGAGTAAAGGTGCTGCTATTGTGCATGTTGGCTCACTGGAAATGTTCCGCTACACTAAATGGAACAGAGCCTTAATTAGTATCATTGTTAACGCCTGAGTTTACCCTATTATTTCATTCAAAATGAGTGCTGTGAAAAAAGGTCCTTTGTCTAGTTTAAAACATTTATTTTGAATGGCTCGACCGGAAGCTTTAGTATGGTACTGTGTTTTTCTTGTTGACAGTATATATACCTTTTAACATATAAAGGTTTTCCTTCCACTCTTTAGTGTTCATAGTCCTCAAGTGGTCACAATGAGTAACTACAACTGTACACTTTTTATAAATATCAAGACTTTACCTGGTAACGGAATACAGCAGCTGTACTACATTTATGTTTTTCCACCTACATGCATTTAGTTTGACAGAATACAGTGACTATAGTGTCCAACGCTACTTTATAATGATGCGTTTCTGCCTCTAGTGGTCACCGTGTGCAACTACATTGGCCAATTTGTCAGTACAATTAACAGTAGTACTACAAAAAACACATTAAGAGACACAGGAAAGGAACTGTTAAGATGCTTAAGATGGTACTATGCTACTATGTTAATGTCTGTGCTATTACAGATACAGACAGACAGACAGACAGACAGAGGTGTAGTAGACAGTATGACACAATATAAAAGGCAGTAATTATAGACTTTTCAACTTCACCCAACGTCCAGGCAAATCTATAGATATATATATCTATATATACTGTCAATGAGGCAGACATGACAGCATTTTAACATTTCCGGTAAAGACTTTCAATGTTTTTTATTTAATTAAACAACACGTAGTTAGTTACACTTTGACGCCACTGGAGGGCAGTCTCTTATTGGTGGTTGGCAAATAACTTTTAGGACTATGGACCAGATTCCCCTTACTTTACATTTCTGTCTGTCCTTCCAATCACTGCTAGAAAATGTATTATGTATTTGGATTTTGTGGCCACGTTGATACTTTCTCTGAAAAATTGGTGTCAATTTAGGTTTCGTGGAGATTTATTTTGAAGACTTCGAACCGGAAGCGTTATGTTTGTTTGTTGTTGCTAACGAAGAGGTAGCGGTGTAGATTGACAGTTAATGGCTGATATTAACTGTTACTGCGTTTCACTGCGTGTTTTATTGAACTCATTTCTTTTAAACGAGTAGTAATGTCAAACGAGGAAGACGGAAATCCTCTTTTTTTTTTCTGCGACTGTTTCACAACTGATAACATTTTCCTGGAGGACTACAAGCTCCATGTCCGCTTCGTGTCGGAGCAGCAGTTCAGACTGGACTATCAGACAGTGAGTAGATATGAGTTAGACTTAATAAAGAAAAACTATTAGGAGTGACATGGCCGCTTTGTAAACTCGTTGTATGTTCGTTATCGTTACGCAGCTGCTCAGGAGGCTCGGCTGTGTGACGGAGCAGCAGTTTGAGGATGTGCTCAACAAGGTAAGAAAGCCTGAGTGTTTGTTTAATCACCAACAAAACCAACAAGAAATAAAAGTTGACCTCTATTCCAGATATGTGCATTTGGTTGGTCTGCCATTAAAGCTGCAGTAGGTGACTTATTTTCTTTCTTTTTTTTTAAACTTTTAGTTAAATTTGGTGAAACTTTCACTATATCCTGATGGCAGCACACGAGACACATAATCTGAAAAAATCCAGTTCCTCTGGCTCCTCCTAGTGCTTCTAATGGTATTTGCAAGTATCCACTGGGCCTGAATGAAAACAACCAATCAGAGCCAAGAAAGATAGTTAATTGTTGAGTCATTCTCAGGTGGTCAGCACTAGGAGTCAGAGCAACCTGAGTTCTTTCACAGATTATCTCTCATGTACTACTCTCACGATATAGCAAACGTTTTAGTGAATATGACAAAAAGTAATTTTTATAAAAATTACTGTCTAGTTGATTTCATCATGGACAACTTCCTGTTGGCCTCCAGAGAAAGAGGCGTCCCCGTAGAGAATAGAGCCAAAATGGCAGAGGAAACCTAATGATGAATATCTTGTTTCATAATATGGGAGTGTTATGAGAGTGTGATTATGAGGTAACTCACCTTAACATCTGCAGTAGCCTAACGTAATTGTATAACCTCTCTGTTTAGATTTCACAGGAAGTGGACAGGCGAAGGCGTCTTGGTGTGACGTCCGCTGAGAGAGCTGCTGCTATTAAAGACGTGTACCATCCCCTCCATCCTCACGTCTACCGCCTGCAGGTATTTACTGCGTCCGCCACTGCTGATAGTGTCAGTAATAATGTGTCAATAACACATCGCTGAGACACGACGCCTCTCCTCAGGAGTCCTACCTCGCGCCAAAGTTCAAGCAGATTGTTGAGTACTGTCGCAGCCGGGGGGCCAGTGGAGACGGGCTCTCAGGCTTGTTGCAGGAAGAGGCAGGTGAGCTGGAAAGTGCTTTCATTTCATACCGGTGGCCCAAGTTTGTGGTGAAATCAAAGAGTATCTTATCTTTCTCGACTCTGATTGGTTGTTTGCATTCAGATGCGGTGGATTCTTGTAAATACCATTAAGAGCACTAGGAGGAGCCAGAGGAACCTGATTTGTACACAGATTGTCTGTCTCATGTACTACTGTCAGAATATAGTGAAAGTAGTTTCAGCAGATATGACAATAGTTATTTTTATAAAAGTTAATGTCATGCTTTTGCGGTTCCCCTTTCACCATGAGGCTTTCTTACAGTCTCTTACCAACAAATGTAATAATACCTTGATATATAGGATAGTAGTCTAGCTTAGGTCGGTGTCAGGCTAACATTAAACATTAATACCTTCACACACAAAACATGCAGTACAAGATTTGTGACACGTCACAGTCATTAATCGTACACATAACACCTCTTAGCCCTACCCCCTTCTTCAAACATGTGACACACACACACACACACACATTCATTCTATGCCCTGTGTTCTCCCTTGGAGTACCCCTCCCCTTCACAGCCAGAAGTTTTTTTTTAAGCTTTATTGCTTGGTTTTCTATGTTCAAATAAAATCTCATCATTTCACTTTCAATAAATAAAAAATAGTAGGGGCCTGTGTTTAATTCCAGTGTTTGAAAATTAGCTTTTGTACACAAAGAGAGAAGAACATAAACAGCCGTCCTGTTTTTTTTGACATAATGAAAAAATACACAGCTCAGCTGCAAATTGGATTTTTGTTTTACAAGTAATGGATAACCATTCTTGGATTTCATTCCACACGTTTTTACAATATATTGATGTGTAAAAGTGCTTCATGGAGCATCTTCTAATTAACTCCCAACCCCCCTGTTGAAGCGGTAAGGGTGTATCGCTTCCCAGTGTTTGAGAAGAGCTTCTGTGAGGAGCTGGTGGAGGAGCTGGAGCACTTTGAGCAGTCATCCGCCCCTAAAGGAAGACCCAACACCATGAACCATTATGGGGTAATGTATTCGCTCTTACTGGCTGAAAGCATTTAATATATACATATATATAAATCATCTTTATTGTGCCATGACATTTGGATCCTTAGTCCCATCACTCATGACATATGAGAGGCGTATTCCAGGCATGTGCATGCAGGCACTTTAATGAGAATCCAGGGGTCATTTCACAGCAACATGCATTGTATGTCTTTAAAAATTCATTGCACTTCATGGTTGTTAGCCAAGATGGAGCCCTTCAGCTGAAACCTTAAATTAGGGAGATGTAAAAGCCACGAAGGAGCTCTGACTTATATATCTATTGGTCAGGAAATAAACATCAGTGTTACGTCACCTTTTATTCACCATTTTCTTCCAGATCCTCCTGAACGAGCTGGGCTTCGACGAGGGCTTCATCACCCCCCTCCGTGAGCACTACCTGCACCCGCTCACCTCCCTGCTGTACCCGGACTGTGGGGGGCGCTGTCTGGACAGCCACAAGGCCTTTGTTGTGAAATATGACATGAATGAAGACCTGGACCTGAGCTACCACTACGACAACGCAGAGGTCACCCTCAATGTGTCCCTGGGCAAGGACTTCACTGAGGGAAACCTTTATTTTGGTGACATGAAACAGGTGAATATCTACTGCTACTGTTATCACTACTGTTACTACATATATATAATAGTAGTTGTTCAAATAATGTCCTTCATTTTTAAGATAAGAAAGCCAGCTGACAGATATAAACTATATAAACAGAAATACTGTAATTGCCTCCGATTAGAAACTAGAAACCACTTAATGTTATAAATAAATTAGAATTGTGAGAAGACTTTGATGTTGATATCATATCAATGTTTAACCATGTGTTGCCTCCTGCAGGTGCCTTTAAGTGAGACGGAGTGTTCAGAGGTTGAACACAGGGTGACCGAGGGCCTCCTCCACCGGGGCCAGCACATGCACGGGGCCCTGCCCATCTCCTCCGGCCAGCGCTGGAACCTCATCATCTGGATGAGAGCCTCGCTGGAACGCAACAAACTGTGCCCCATGTGCAACAAGAGGCCGACGCTGGTGGAAGGGGAGGGCTTTGCTGACGGGTTCACCAAACACCCCGATGCACCGCTCAACGCTTCGTGTGTGCTGACGTGATGAAGACACTGTGTGCGAGTAGGATTTGAAATTTGCGACTTGATGATTTAGGTGCTTCCAATATAGATTTTGTCAGGTGATATGGTTGAATAGACTGTAGAAAGCAATTTAATTGAATTAACAATAATTATGTATTCCAAATTGGAATGATGAATCTTTATTATTTGCACTATTAATAATAATGTAATGATACTATAATTCTGAATTTCAGACATGCAGTGGTGTCCCATTATGTGATCAGTATATTTATGACTTCAATGTGAGTCCAATAATATAAACGCACACCGGTGAAGCCTCTGTAATAGACAGTATGATTGTACTGTGTGTTTAAAAACTGATGGAAACACCACTCTGACAGTGTCTTTCATTACTAATATCCAAAGTCAGGCTATCCTCTAATACTGAGTACCGTCTGTAAAGGCTCTAAAGTCTCTCTTTGTGAAATGAATTGGGATGGGATGCTAACATGAGGCCAGGGGTTTCTGTAGCATTCAGTCAGTGAATATAGTGGGAATACTTAAAGGTACCCTGTGGAGTTTTTGACCACTAGTAGCACCATAACATTATTTGTACGAGTAGGTCCCTGTTTTGTTTTTGCTCACGCACACACACACAATCATTGTCACAGGAAACAAATAGGAATCAAGCATGTGAAACCAATCACATCACAATTTGTGGCACTACCATTAGGTACACTTCACATTTTGCAGCCATTTAAAGAATGCAGGATTTAAAATATTCAAAAATTCTGCTTAATAAACTGAACATAAGAAACGTTAAACGTAACTAAATGTGAACATAGCTTTTGTTTACAAGCAAACTCCACAGGGCACCTTTAATTTTACAATGACATCGTGGAGCGGTCACATCTGGCAGACACCTGATCCACTTTATAAGATCAGTTTTGGCCACAGAAGCTATAGTGTGTCAGATCAGTGCATCCCTGTTAATACATCCAGTACAGCATCTTTTCCCACAGTTGTTTATCTGTCAGTGATGGTTGATATCTGTCTGCTCACAAATCCATGTCAGCTTTGCTGATATTAACCACTGGCTGACTGTAATCTGGCTTCCTATTGACCAACCATGTTGACTGTTGTCTGGATCAGTAAGAATGGAATACACATTTTCG